ATAACTTAGATACATGACATGGAGGTATACAATGAGATTTATGAGCGATCTAATGTACATCAATGACATAAGATATAAGAATAAATTAAGAATAACCTACCCGTAGGCTACTTATTGAGTATTTTTAATTATATTCATGTTAATCTTTCTTTCAAGGAAGAAACTGAACGGCATAGTCTAGGCAAAGATGTGTATGAGCTATATGGCAATGGGTCGAGATAGATCCGAGTCTCGATGTTTAACTCCTGATGATTTGTCATGTACATGATTTTGATGGTACATTTTAGTGAATGATTCCAACCGTGCCTTTTGTATAAACATTTATTGATATATTTGAATAAAGTTTACTACATGCATATTTTAAAATTAATCAAATTATCGAGTTGTCTTAAAATTCATGTTAGTAGTAACAGTATGTGGCTCGAGACTCTCGAAAGCAAATCATTACGTGTTTTTTTTTATTATAATGAAAATGATCAAATATGGATAAATTTTTGGAAAAAGTAGAGACCTAAAAATGGCATTGCAGCGCATGCGTTATTTGAGTGGTTGGAGAGAGGATAGTATAGCTTTTTGTCTGTAGAGGAACAAGGAGATGACAAAGTTAATATGCATGGCGACCTAAAACTAATGCCAATGGAAGTCCTTGTTGGAATTTGATGAAATGGGATCCCTTTAGGTTTCCACTACCCCCCTTCATTTTCGCCCTATTTTGTTCATCTTTCACACCTTACTCAAAAATGGGTAGGCCAAGGATATTAACATAAATTTCAATATTGATCTGTTTAGCCTCTAAATTTATATATCTTTTGAGATTAACTCATCATCTTAATGTTTATATATCTATTGATTATGTTAAAATATATAATGCAACGTGAGATTAGTTTGTTGTCTTATTGGATACTTTTTTTTAAGTGCAAAGATTAGATCAATATACTCGGAGGGTTCATAAGTTGGGTTGGATTCTGTTGGAACATTTTTTAAACTTAAATTCAATTATTATGATTATAAATTTTTTTAATCCAATCAGTTGTCGTTAAAGAATAAACTCAACTCAATTATAAAAGTTTTAGATTTGATTTGTTCTCTATTTTAAAATTAACACAAATTTGATTTAGTTGGGTTGAACCAATTTAATTTGAGCAAAACCTATGAACCAATCCATTTATAAAGTTTTCATTTATTTGAATTCAACTCAAATAAGTTTATAATCCAACCCACATAATTGATCGAATTTTTTGGGTTATTTAGTTTTTTTGAACACCCTTACAACAAACAACCTTAAAAAGACCCCGACATTTACGATACATCTTTAGTCTAGTTTAACTTGTAATTTGGTCTAATTATACTATCTAATAACAAGTTTTAAGTTATTTAGTTACCTTAACCTTAGGTGATTTTGAAAATTGTAAAGTGAGCGTATTAATTTTATCTTTATTAAAGTATGAGTCTGAAAATTCTTTTCACACCCACTGTTAATGATCAATTATGAAACCAATGCTTCAAAACATATTGCCATCCCCTCATTTCATTTCGCATTATGTGACACCCTTATCTTTCAAAAACTTTAAAAAAAAACCCAACTTTGAATTATAATGTAGTGGCTTTCGAATGAAATTAAATTAAATAACACCCTTTTTTTTTCTTTAAGTGATTGCTTGATTTTGTTCTTGAAAAAAAGTGATATTATTGAGCTTCACAAATTAGTGAAAGCATTCTATTGTATTACTTTTGTGCATCTAGTACAATCTTTAATGTGCTTTTTGAGTTTTTTTCTCTTAATTGTACAAACGTCTCGTAAGTTGATATCGAATTTTAGACTAAGCTTATGATAAACTTTGATTTTCAGCTAGTCCGCATTAACCTTTAGTTATCTTTAGTAATGGATCAAAATCTTGAAATTTCAGATTATCTTCAACTTGTTTTCAAAGTTTTCAAATCATCAAAGCTGTCGTCTTCGAAAATTTTCTGGTCTTCAAATCTTAAAGTTTTTTAATCTTTCCATCGACTTTTAAATAATGTTTTGGGATCGTGGAGCCAAATCGACCATACATAGCTAGAGGATCCGAGGAGGGGACTGTGATGCTGCTGCGAGCAATGTGACATTTTGTCATTACAGCTAGATGGCCCCTCTAGCCAAAGGAGGGTGTATACTCAAGTTCTAACTCTACATATTTGCAGCATTGTGGCATTAGGGACATGGGACGTTCTATATGTATACTTCGTTTTCGTAAGGTTTTTTGATGGAAGATTTTGGGAGTGGCATGCGCAAATAACATTTGAACGTAAGCTTGAGCGTTTGTTTCTTAGCCTAATCCGAGGCATCATTGCATTTAGAAGTCGAGATAACCGATGTTGTCTTTTCCTTTAAGTATGACGTATAACATGAGGTGAAGACTATTATATTTGTAATCTTCGCATAGAGGAGATATTAACTACGTTGCATTCGAGTCTAGAGCTAACCAATATATTTGTAACCAAGGTCTTGGATTGCTCTTTTGTAGATGACATGAGAGAACATCTCATGCTTTTTTAGTTAATGACCAAACAAAAAAAACCCATAAAAGAATGGTAAGAGTTCAAGTCTATTATTAATAGATATGGTCGGCTTTCCCTTCTAGACTTCGAGCAAAGTTTTAAAACGTGTTCATTGGGGAGAGATTTCCACACTCTTATAAGAAATGTTTCGTTTCTCTCTCCAACCGATATGAGATCTCACAATTTACCTCTTGGGGGCAAACGTTCACGCTAGCACACCGCCCGATGTCTAGCTCTAATACCATTTATAACTGTCCAAATCTCCCGCTAGTAGATATTGTCCTCTTTGGAATTTCTCTTTCAGACTTTCACTCAAGATTTTAAAATGTGTACACTAAGAGAGATTTTCACACCTTTATAATAAATGTTTTGTTCTCCTCTCCAACTGATATGGAATCTCACGTGAATCATTTACAATTTGGCTTCTTATCTCCTCTATGTTCATGAAAGATATAATGAAGAAAATATTATCATTAAAATGAGTGAACATATAATCACAGTGAGTGAATACTAGATTTTTTAGTATCATATATAGTGTATTGGTTATGGTTGCACAATACTACCTGAGAACAAGTATAAGTAAATGAACACTATTGGTCCTAGAAAAAGAAAATTGGAACTTCAATCATCCAAGCCAATGGAAACATAATGAGACATACAATAAAGCTTTGATACAAAAAAAGTGCATAATTATTTATCTCATATAAAGAATCATATAAGACATAATGAGACATACAATAAAGTTTAGATTAAAAAAAAAGTGTATGATCATTCCATCCCACATAAGGAATCATTTGGAGACATAATGAGACATACAATAAAGCTTGGATTAAAAAAAAGTTCATGAACAATAAATCCCACATAAAGAATCATATTATTTTGTATAGAATGGAAAATTTAAGTATAAAATAATCGAATAACATTTTGGTCGAGGTACAAATTAAATTATTTCATTACAACAAATGTAATAGGAGAGGAAACACGTTGAGTTGGATAAATTTTTTAAACTAACTTAAAATTTCAGGTTGGTTGGGTTGATTAATCCAAAATGTCAACTCAACCTTCTATTTTCGAGTTAGATTGAATTGGATTATTGGATTGAGTTAAGTAATCATCTCAGCGTTTAAAAAATGAAGAAAAATGAGTGATGAAATCTTGTCAACTTTCTCAAAGTACTAGATGATAGGTCCAAAAATCTAGGTTTGTTGGGCCAATTGATCAAGGTTTGATTTTTTTTTTTTTTCTTCTCTAGTTTGACCTATTTTCTCCTAATTTTGGAAATGATGATGCTAATCTTTTCTCATATTTGAGGGTTCATTCGAGAGATTTTGAGAAATTTGGAGTGGAATAGGGGTAAAATTTGCTAGCGAAGCAATGTTCGAATGAGATATTCAGTGAATCGAGATTTTTGTTCGAGATTTGCTTATAGGGTTGATTGAATATGATATAGGACTGAATTTTGAAGACGGATTGAGATCGAATTGAATGATTGGGCGTTGATTACTATATTCCAATATCTTTGATGTATGAATTATGTATGATATGAGATTATATGAACATGTTACTATATAGGAATGGTTAGGAATTGGTCACCTAGTCCTGAAGAATGTGACAAAAGTCACCACCAAACAAAAAACACCTTTCCCCAAAATGGCTGCACACTAATCATTATGTCTCTAAATTAATCATCAGCTGCTTAATTACAAATCTCTTTTCCATTGCTGCTTTCATCCATACAATAATTCTTGCCCTTATTACCAATTCACCCTTACTATTTTGTTGAACCCTCTCCACAATTTTGCTAGAAAACGAAGCGATTGAATTTTGCTTCAATCGATTTGAAGAACTCGATGCCGTCAGTCGTGAATCTAAGAGCCAACGACGCAAATAGAGATGTCGACGATCACCTCGATGGATCGTCGTCTAGAAACTGAGGAAGATAAAAGCTTAGAAGTTTAGCATACCTGTGATATCCCACATTGGTTGGGGAGGAGAACAAATCACCGTTTATAAGGGTGTGGAAACTTCTCTTAGCAAATGCGTTTTAAAGCCTTGAGCGGAAGCCCGAAAGGGAAAGTCCAAAGAAGACAATATCTGCTAGCGGTGGATCTGGGTCGTTACAAATGGTATCAGAGCCAAACACTGGACGATGTGCCAGCCTCCTCGTCGCTATTCCCTGAAGGGGGTAGACATGAGGCGGTGTGCCAGGAAGGACGCTGGGCCCCGAAGGAGATGGATTGTGATGTCCCACAAGAACACCTCGTCGCTATTCCCTGAAGGGGGTAGACATGAGGCGGTGTGCCAGGAAGAACGCTGGACCCCGAAGGAGATGGATTGTGATGTCCCACAAGAACGAATCACCATTTATAAGGGTGTGGAAAGAGGCTTTTAAAGCCCGAAAGAAAAGTACAAAGACAATATTTACTAGCGGTAGATCTGAGTCGTTACAATACCAAATATCACACACAAAACAACTCCCACCAATCCTTTATTATTACACTGAAGCCAACAGGCAATGGGGGCATTGCGAGCAACAAATTCTCGACCATCCCTTTTATTTGATTCAATTTTATTTATCTAATTATGCATCCATTGATTTATTTATTTATTTATTTATTTATTTGTTGAAGGGATAAATTCAATTTCTTGAAGCTTCAGCCTGTCGCGACCTTAAAAATTGGCCCTTCGCATAGATATGGCCCATCTTGGTTCTCTTGGTTTCCAAGTACTTTCTGTTTTCATCCGTAATGGGTGTCACCACAGGGACCCTCGCTGTCACTGCCAAACCATATCCCTTCAGCCCCTTGAACTTCGCGGGGTTGTTTGTCATCAACCGCATTGTTCTAATCCCAATATCTCTCAGCATCTGACATCATCCACAAATAAAAAAATAAAATCAAATTTAACTTATCTATTAACTAGTCAAATCGAGTTGAGTTGACTGACCTGAGCTCCGACTCCATAATCACGGGCGTCGGCAGGCAATCCGAGCTCGATGTTGGCTTCGACTGTGTCGTGGCCTTGATCTTGTAGGTTGTAGGCAAGCAGCTTGGGGCCAAGGCCAATGCCTCTTCCTTCATGACCTCTTAGGTAAATAACAGCGCCTCTTCCAGCCTTCTCAATCATTTGCATTGCTAAGTCTAGTTGGTTGCCACAGTCACATCTTGCTGACGCGAATATGTCGCCAGTTAAGCACTCGGAATGGACCCTTACAAGCACATCTTGACCGTCTCCAATGTTTCCCTGTTGAAATAAATCATGGTGAAAGTTTTTTATTTATAATCAAATAAATTATAAAAAAAAAAATTATAATAAATAGATGTCTTTATGATATATATATATTGTAAATCATAATTCTAACCCTAAATATCCTTAAGATTTTGGATTTCAATAAAGATTTAACTCATCTCAGAGCAAATATTTTTTAGGTTAAATATTGGGTTTTGAAGCTCACCGACCACCAACTATCATATGTTTTTGATATTTAAGGATGTCATGAGTTAATGAATGCATTATTCCTCAAAGAAAACAAATTCCATTACCTTTACAAGAGCCACGTGCTCAATTCCATCTAGATTTGAGCGATAGCAATGAGCATAGAATTGGCCCCATTTAGTTGGCAGCCGAGAAATAGCAATCCTTTCAATCAAATTTTCTCTCTTTCTTCGGTATCTACCAAAATAAACAGCCAAAAAATTAAGTGAATCCAAACCCGACTCAAATTTTTTATAGTTCAACGCATAAGATATCAATTACGATGAATCAACCTAACTTACCTAATCAAATCAGTAATAGAGACTATTGGGATATTCTTTTCTGATGCCAACTTTCTCAACTTGGGTAGTGAAGCCATGGAGCCATCTTCAGGGTCAACAATGGTTGAAAGAACAGAAACTGACCTTAACCCAGCAAGGGAAACTAAATCTACAGAAGCTTCCGTGTGGCCAGCTCTCCTCAGAACGCCGCCGTCTCGGTACCGGAGGGGAAACACGTGACCTGGCCGTCTGAAGTCCTCAGCCTTAGACTGAGGTGATGATAAAGCAACAATTGTCTTTGCTCTATCTGCTGTTGATACTCCTGCTGATGTCCCATTTTTCAAATCCTGTCTCATTCAAACAATAAATTAATAACTAACACTCAAAGTAACATCCCTAGGTGGGTGTGATCGTGTATAATAATTTAATCAAGAGGTCAGAAGTTCAAATTTCTCATGCGTACTACCTACCACAGTGATGGTAAAAGTTGATGTCTCGTTCCCATTATCGATCGATATTATGGGAAGCTTAAGCCTTTCAAGATCGTCCTCTTTCATACCCACATAGAGTATGCCTGAGCCATGTTGAACCATGGTTGTTATATTACTGGGAGTTGTAAAAGAGGCAGCCATTACCAAATTCCCTTCCGTGTCCTCATTTTCATCATCCACAACGATCACAAACTAGAAAACAATTAAGTTTTTCGGCCATTAGGAGAAGAGAAATGCATGAGGAGAGAGAATAAAAATGCATGCAAAAAGGGGTAAGATAAAAACATGCCACATCCTTCAAATAATAAGTATAGAGAGAATAAAATTTTTGTTCTTTGTAACCATGTGAGATCACACATCGGTATGAGAGGAGAACGAAACATCCTTTATGAGGGTGAGAAAACTTCTCCTCCCTAGCAAGTAGGTTTTAAAAACATTAAGGAGAAACTCGAAAGGGAAAGCCCAAAAAGGACAATATGTGTTAGCTGGTCTGCAGTGTTACAAATGGTATCAGAGACAGACACTGAGCGATGTGTCAGGGAAGAGGTTGAAGTTCGAAAGGGTGGGACACAAGGCAATGTGCTAGGAAGGACGTTGGGCCTCGAAGGGGGTGGATTGTAAGATCCGACATCGATCGAAGAAGAGAACGTAACATTCTTCATAAGTACGTGGAAACCTCTCACTACCAATACTTTTAAAAAAACTATGAGGAGAAACGGTAAAGAAAAAACTTGAAAAGAGAATCATATTTGTTGTTAGGGTAGACTTTGACTTTTGTGGGAGAGAAATGGACAAGGGAGAAAAAAGAAAGTATAATTTATTAGAGTATAAGCAAGCATTATCCATAAGGAAGTGGATATTTGGCAACCTTTCCTTGGCTAATAGCATCAACGGCGGTGGGAATGGAAGAGTAGCCCTCAGATGGGCAGTCAGGATCGTCCTCATCATCAAAGAAATCAACAACATCGGGCGTGGTTTCAGCCTCAAGTCCTAAAGCAGCCGCGGAAGCAGCACCGTTACCATTTTTAGCGGCGAGGTTGTCATCAAACAAGTCAGCAGCAGCGGAGCAAACAAAACGCAGCCCTCTTTGCTTACATTTGCCAATCTTAGGATGAGGCAAAGCGGGGCGATGAAAGCTACAAAGAGAACAACTTTATTATGACACATAAAGGGGCACAAAATTAGGGGTGAGTAGGGAAAGAAACGTACCTTGAAAGAGGTAAGTTAGTGAAACGGGGAAGGAGAGGATGAGCAAGAAGAGCAGAAGCCATGGATGGAAGAAGGAATGGAAGGATTGTGTGAGGGATTGTGGGATTGAAGAGAGGGTTTAAAAAGAAAATTATTGGGAATTATTCTCATCCACAGCCCCATGCTCACAACCTCAACATGGGTCGGGATAAATACATTATTAGTGACACAAAAAACGTGGCCACAGTTTTTCTTTTTTTTATTATTATTATTATTCAGATCTATAAAATGTACATTCAAATTATTTTTATAAAAATAAGAGTATGTAGATTTTTAGATGCACATTCATCTATTAAATTTGATCAGTAGATAATTTATGATATTATTAAATTAAGTTCTTCATGATCATTTAATTTTTAATATTTACTTACTAATTTTCAAAAATTTGTTTTCAAGTCTACAAATTGCCTTACAAATTCAAATGTTTACACACATTTAATTTTAAAAAATTGAAAACAAAAAAACAAAAATCAAATATTGATTGGAGGAGTTGAAAATGTGTAATAGCTAAAGATAGTTCCTAGTTACTGTAAAACAAAGAAAGAAAAAAAATGTTCTTAGCTGCAAGATCTACTTCTCTAACAAAATCTTTTGTTGATTGTCATAAGGGTTCAAGTCATTCTATTGATGGTGTTATGTTTATCTGGTTCCCGATCTTAAAAAAAGATGAAAAAAATCACTATTAATTCATGCTCCTCTCACTAAAATACATATCTCGACGCATATCAATATATTACTTGTAAGAGTGTGGAAACCTCTTCCTAACAGATCAAAGCGGATAATATTTGCTAGCAACGAGCTAAGGCTATTACGAAATGCATCGGAGGGTTCAATTTGTAATTTAATTATTTTCTAATAAAATATTATATAAGATGTGCAGTAGGAAGTATTTAAACTTTTTTAATATCAATAAAATCACATTGAGAATATAATGTTTTAACAATCGAAAGATTCTCAAATCAGGCAAGATTTTGAATGTAGGGTTTAATCAGATAGATAACATTATTTAAACAAATTGACAAAAAAAAAAAAAAAAAAACGTGGATCTGAGGAATGCATCGGATGGGATGCATTAATGGAATGCTACTCTTGATTATACATATTCCATACGTTTTTAAGCCATTACTTAGTTAAATAGACTAGGAATAAGAATCGATCTAACGTATCTCATAAAAATATTAGAATTTAACGATTTTCATAATATAACATATACATATTTATGAGCTATTGAGCATACACGAGACTCTAATATATCATAGCTTTATAGTTCTTTAGCTCTAATATGCACCCGTCACAAGTCATGCAAGCTTATATACCATTTGAAAAGAAAACGTAACGTGAATTGAGTATAAAAAAATTTAATAAGTAGTTTACTGGTAGGTTCTCAGTGTTTCTAACTGGGTTTTTCGAAGGTTATAGACTAGATTCTTTCTCTTAAGTTATAGACTATTATCACTATTATGGTTATGTCTCGATCGACTCATCTAAGCTCATTTCATGTTTAGATAATATAGCTCATCTGAGCTTATCTCAATCATTAAGTTCATGTAATCTAGTTCATCTTAACTTATCTCAATCATCGAGTTTACTCAGATTTAAATAATATTGAGATCAGGTTCACCCGAGTTTAGATAATCTAATACACACACATGCAAACACACCGACCCTCATGCCTACTAACTACTATGATGCTACATCAGTCACAATTGATAGAGATGGGTTCACTACTAAAACAAGTTGAAGACCTCCTAACAATTCTCACGTAATAACCTGGTGTCAGTACATATTATTTTATGCTCTTTGAATAGAGATCCATTCGAGTTGAAGACCTCTTAATAGATATTATTTAATTTTTAAAAAAATATATATTTTTTCAAAAAAAAAAATTAAACCAAACTTCATTAAAATCTTCTAGGATTTAATTTTTCAAGAAACTAATTAGTTCATTACCTATATACATATATATTCAGTACATAGACTATCACATATAAAGTATAATGAATTTGAAAAAGCATTAAAAAAAAAAATCTCAACCATATTAACCCTAAACTGTCTGAAAATAATAAAGAATGACCTGAGCATATCAAACCTAAGCCAAATGAGTTGAGAAGTCGAGCTAAGGACGTTAGAAAACTTATTCTCCGATTGACTTTGAACAACTGCAGTTAAATAATGAAGCAAAACAATTGTTGTGACTTAGTAAGTCAAAGAGACTCATAGAACTTTTAGGTGATATACCGATAAAAAGGAGAATAGAGATTTGAATCTTAATGGAGAAAATCAAATCAAAGGCTTAAATTAAGAGGGTTGTGAAGAACACAATGAGGATATTTTATAAGATCATAAACGTCTGGCACCATAAATTGTTGACATCTGTAAGGTTGCCCCATGGAGCTAAAAACAAAGCCAAACCCAGAAAAGAATCATAAGAAAGCAACAAAAAAAGAAGAAGGAAGATTGAGGTCGGAAGAAAGCCACCAATTTGGCATCCCAATGAAAAACACACAAACCACCACCAATCCATTACGCCAAGGCCAAGGAGATAGTAACAGGCAATGGGGGCCATTACTCCCAAAACATGATCGACCATCCCTTATATTTAATTTCTTTTTTTAATCAACTATTTATTTATTTTTAATGCCGACCAAATCAATTATTTGAACCCTATTATGTGGTTTGTAGTGTTCGGTGTCTGTATTTACACGACTAAGATGTTTCGAACTATCCAATTCAAATATTAATATTCGATAAAATCATATCATTTTTTTTGTTTAAATTAAGTTGAATTATTGAGAAATCAATTCCAGTTTAGTGCACGAGTTAGAAACTTTTTGGTCGGATCAACTCGATTTGAAAATATAGTTTACAACTAAAACCAACTTAACTCTATCATATTTTTAAAATTGTTATGAAAATTAAGAAGGTTTGATTTTTTTTTTTTTTTTTAATATATGTGGTGTGACTCATGAATGATTGATATTTTAGGTTCATGACATTTTAATTGTTAATTGTCAAGACCCAAAATTTGAGGTTTAGGAGACCGGGTTGAGACCATCAAATGAAAACATGTAGGAAGGAGAACAATGAAAATTTGATACACGTTAAAATCAAAATAGGAATGTTTACAATGTAAGTGTATGAGACTACTTACAAAATAGGGAATGAGATCGAAATACAAGAGTTACGAAGTATGACATCCTATGGCATGCAGACACACTAGACGTCTTAGGTCGACACCCCTCTATAGTTGCAGAGCACCCGAGCACCCCATCGTCTCAACAACCAGCATCAACTACCTGAAAAACAATGAAATTTCTTCCGAATTTCTTCACGAAACTTGTGTGGGTTCACTTTAGATCATCATAGACTTAAATCCCTAAAAATCTCACTGTTTTGTAAAGAAAGCTGAAACTAGAAACTCATAGATGTTACCTTCGTTCTTCCCCTTCTTCTTCTCCAAACCCTACATTTTCTTCTTTTCTTTTTCCTATTCCTTTCCTTTTTTCTTTTCCTTTTCCTTTTCTTCCCTTTTTCTAACCAGCTATAATCAGACCCCAAAAATAAAAAATGGTCAAAATTAATTTTATCCACATTTTTTTCTTATTTTTCTACCTTTTTATTTTATTTTAATTAATTCGCTCGAGGCATTACATTTATAGAATATGTATTTTGTATAAATAATATTTTTTTTAATATTTAAAGAAATGTACATCCAGAAAACCTTATTCGAGTGGCCAACCCAACATAACTCGTATAGACCGCATCTATAAGGAGTCATTTCCATAAACATGGTCCTAATTTGTTCTCTTAGTTAAAAAAATAATAATGGTAATAAATTTATTTCTCTATCTTTATACATTTCCCTCTTAATTGTTAAAACATCCTAAAATTCGTATTTGATTGCTATTTAGTTTTAAATTTTTTATTTCTCCCACTTAAGTTTTTACATACTTTTTAATTAGAAAACGATAAAAACGATATATATATATATATATATCTTTATATTAGAATTAATAGGTTTAAAAATCCGCATCTTCAAAAGGCACATTCCATTGAATTTATGGCTAAAAAGATGCATTCTAATTTGATGTGTCATGGCAGAAGACACGTTCCAATAGGGACAAAAAAAAAAAAAAATAATACCACGAGTTTTTCTTTAAATAGTTTCAAATTAATTGGTTTCTTTCTATGGCTAGTTTTGGGGTTTAAATGTGTACGTTCATGATCATAATCCGATTTCTAATGAAGTCACTTTGACTACAGAACTATACCTATCTCTTAGAGCGAATATGATGATCGAACCGAGGACAACTCCTTTGACTATGGCTCTTTTTCTAGCTCGAGAGAAACCCTTATAATAATTTGAAATTTACAACAATGTCAGAAACTCTCTCAAAGAAGAGGTATGCATCTAAACACATCCATATGTAAATATCCAAGTAACATGAAAACTTTCTAACTCAAAATACTAAGAAAATGGTGGGATGAACTCAAAGAATAAATGGTTTACCAAGTACCACATGAACCATTAGCACAGAACGAAAAGAGGATACAATTGAGGCAAAGAACAGAGATTAATATGATACAGAACTAATATTTATTATTCACAACTGAAAATCCTAAGCTAAAACCACTATGAATTTAAGTTCTCATAGTAAAACAAACAACACTCTGAGAATTATCACAGTTTTCATGACAGAAAATACTTGCTTTGCTGCTACTGCTGCTGGTGGAAGGGATTTTGTTTACCCTTCATTGTGACTGCGAATGAAGATTTTGTTAGAATCCCACAACACTCTCATAACACCAATTTTTACCTCTGCCTCATGAAACGAGGTGCCCGTGGCATCCGACGGGTATGGAAGAACTGTATTTTTATCCGCTTTCAATTCATCAACATCAACAACAAACGTTTCGAGTTCTTCCAAGTTTCTTCCGTACCATTTACCATGTACCTGATGCACTTTTCCTCTTGCTACCTCCTCCCCGAGCACGTCTACAAGCATGACATACCGGCCAGGCTTGCAATGAGCAAATTCTGTTGGACCAATGTCAAATTCAGTGGTTGAAT